CTGGAAGTTCTAGCTAATGTGAGAAGACAAGGAAATCAAAATTATACAGGCTGTGAAGGAAGAAATAAAACTTTCTTTGTTCACAGATGACATGATTGTCTGTGTTAAAAATCTGAAAATCAGCCCCCAAAACTCCTGGAATGTAAAAGCAATTGTAGGGGCTTCCCTGGTGGCACAGTGGTTGAGAGTCCGCCTGCCAAGGCAGGGGACGCGGGTTCGTGCCCTGGTCCGGGAGGATCCCACATGCCGCGGAGCGGCTGGGCCTGTGGGCCATGGCCGCTGAGCCTGCGTGTCCGGAGCCTATGCTTCGCAACGGGAGAGGCCACAACAGTGAGAGGCCCGCGTACCACAAAAAAAAAAAAAAAAAGAAAAAGCAATTATAGTAAGGTTGCAGGATACAAGGTTAATATATAAAAGTCAATCACTTTCCTATACAACACTAGCGAACAAGTGGAATTTGAAATTAAAAACACAATACCATTTATGTTAAAATACTTAGGTATAAATCTAACAAAATATGTACAAGATCTATATGAGGAAAACTACAGGGACTTCCCTGGTGGCGCAGTGGTTAAGAATCTGCCTCCCAATGCAGGGGACACAGGTTCAAGCCCTGGTCCGGGAAGACCCCACTTGCTGCGGAGCAACTAAGCCCGTGCGCCACAACTGCTGAAGCCTGTGCACCTAGAGCCTGTGCTCTGCAACAGGAGAAGCCACCACAGTGAGAAGCCTGCACACTGCAACGAAGAGTATCCCCTGCTTGCTGCAACTAGAGAAAGCCCATGTGCAGCAAGGAAGACCCAACGCAGCCAAAAATAAATAAATTTATTTTAAAAACTCTACAAACTCTGAAGAAAGAAATCAGAGAAGAACTAAATAATTGAAGAGATATTCCATGTTCATGGAGAGGAAGACTCAGTATTTCCAAGGTGCCAGTTCTTCACAACTTGATCTATAGAATCAACACAATCCCAATCAAAATCTCAGCAAGTTATTTTGTAAATGTCAAAAAACTGATTCTAAAGTTATATGGAGAGGCAAAAGACCCGGAATAGCCAACACAATATTGAAGGAGAAGAACAAAGTTTGACTGACACTATCCAACCTCAAGACTTACTATAAAGCTACAGTAATCAGGACAGTGTGGTCTTGGTGGAAAAATTAACAAATAGGTCAATGGACCACAATAGAGAGCCCAGAAGCATACCCACATAAATACGGTCAACTGACCTTTGGCAAAGGGGCAAAGGTAATACAATAGAGGAAAGAATGTCTTTTCAGCAAATGGTGCCAGAACAACTGGACATCCACATGCAGAAAAATGAATCTAGACATAGACCTTATACTCTTCATAAAAATTAACTCAAAGTGGATCACAGACATAACTGTAAAATGCAAAACTCCTAGAAGATAAAATTGTGATCTATAAAATAAATGACTGGTGAGCTGGACTTCATTAAAATTAAAAACTGTTCTGCAAAAGTCACTGTTGAGAGACTGAGAAGATAAGCCACAGACTGGGAGAAAATATTTGTAAAAGACACATCTGATTAAGGACTATTATCCAAAATATACAGAGAACTCTTAAAACTCAACAGTGAGAAAATGAGCAGCCCAGTTACAAAGGGGCTAAAGACCTGGACAGATACCTCACTAAAGAAAATACACAGGTGGTAAGTAAGCACATGAAAAGATACTTTAGATCTTTTGTTCTTAGGAAATTGCAAATTAAAACAACAACGAGATACGGCCACACACCTATCAAAATGGCCAAAATCCAAAACATTGACACCACCCGATGCTCACTTCTGCCCACCTGGGCCCACGGCCTTCATAAAGAGAGCTTCACCTGCAGAATGAGCTGTGCCTTTCCCCTCCAGTTGTCCTTATCCTTTCCTCAAACTGCTGTTCTCTTAGATTCTCTAACTTCTCCCATCATTTTTATCTTCGATGAAAATTCCACCTTCAATTCCTTAAACAAGTATATTTACTTCTTACAATAATTTGTCTATTGTGGTTTTAAAAGCTTCACCCCACTGAAACTAGACAATCCCTGGCAGAATTTTAGGTATTGGTGCAGGGTTTAATAAAAGGGAGAAAGGTCTTCAGAGCCACGATGAGGGTTACAAGTAGGTTCCTGCTGATATATTGCAGCCAATAGAAGCTTGTCTCTTAAGGATGGTTTGCTTGCTCCCACATTTTCTGTATTGTGTATAAGCTTGTGGTTAACTGATAGGAAAGAAGATTTTCAGCATGTGCAACATAAATATATATTTGGTCTCTGCCCCCGACATAGAGTTCCTAAAACTCCTGTAATTTCCTGAATGATAGGGGTGGTAGGAGCATCTTACACAGAGCACCTGAATTCCTTGGAATATCCTAGGTGGTAGGAATGTCGTTTGTTCCACGGAGGTGACTCTTGGTGGGCTCCTGGATAGCTTCAGAATGGGAGTTGGTCTCCAGAAAGACCAAACCATTATTAGAAGCTTGTAATTTGCAGCCATGTCCCCATCCCCCAGGGAGGGGAGAGGAGCTGGAGATTGAGTTAATCTGCATGATGAAGCCTCAGTAAAAATCCCTAAACTACAGGGTGTGGAGAGCTTCCAGGTTGGTGAGCACATCCATGTGCCAGGAAGGTGGTGCACTCCAGCTCCAGGGGACAGAAACTCCTGTGCTCAGCACCCTTCTGGACCTCGCCCTATGTACCTTTTCATCTGTTCATTTATACCCTTGACAATAAACCAGTAATGGTAAGTAAAGTGTCTTCCTGAGTTCTGTGAGCTGTTATAACAAATTATCTAACCCGAGGAGGGGTCATGGGAGCTTCAGGTTTGTAGTGAAGTCAGACAGAAGTGGGGGTAACCTGGGACCCACTACGTGTGATTGGTGTCTGCAGTGGGGGCAGTCTTGTGGGACTGAGGCCTTAATCCTGTGGAGTCTGAATTCAATTCAATTCAATTACAGGACACCTGAGAGTTGGAGAATTGGTTGGTGTTGGAAAAAATTAAAAACACCACGCATTTGGTGTCGGAAGTGTGAGTAGAGAAATAGTTCTCTTTTAGTGTGTGTCATTTTTGTTTAAATGACTTTTTCTCGGATTCTTGAAAAGATAAGACATAAGCTAAACTGCATTTCTGGAAAAACAAAAACCCAGCAGATAATCTAACCTAATCACAAAGGTGGCCCATGTCATTTAGTAGACAGAAGGTAGAAAGATGACAAGGTGGTTAAATTTGCACAGCCACACCCAGAAATAAGGACATACTATTTTTATTTTTATATGGTTTTAAAATAGCATTACTTCTCTCTCAGAAGCAAAAAGATGTGCTTTTATGTTTTTTTAGTCATCCTATGTAACTTTAACTCTGGGCATTAGAGTGGCTTTATTCACAACTCTACTTTGGCTTTTACTTCTCATACTGAATTTTCTACAAGTTGTACTGACTTAATAAATTCTCTCCACTGAGAATCCCTGCAGGGGTCATGCCTTTCCAGATGCCCTTTCCCTAACTTTCAGGCTTCAGCTCAGTGCACCTGGCCACAGCCTGAGTATCCTCAGGCAGCACCAAAGGTCCCTTAGCTCACAGGAGCCCAGGTTCCAGGCGGACTCCCTGAAATGCTGGGGCCATTGCCCTAAGGATTGCTGCTCACCTTGCTGATCAGGGCTGCCTCCGGCCTCTGCAGGGGGCTGTACCTAGTTGCAGGGTCTTTCTAGGCAGCTGTTTGCCTCAAAGTAGTTCTGGAGGACACCGTTCCCTTCCCCTCCCTCCACACCTGCACCGTGCAGCTCCTGGGCACTTACAATGTGCCTGATGCAAATTGGAATGTGCTACAAGTGTAAAATACACACTGGATGTCAAATATTTGGTACATACAAAGAATGCGAACTATCTCAATCATTTTTATTTTGATTATACGTTGAAATGATAGTGTTGGGGATATATGGGGTTAAATAAAAGATTATTAAACTGATTTCACCTGTTCCTTTTTTACTTTTTTCATATATGGCTGCTAGAAAATTCTAAATTGTATGTGGTCGGCAGATATTGCAGTTGGCAGCACTGCCAAGAGGGACGTGGAAAGGAGGGCAGCCCTCCCAGAAGGAGTCACAAAGCCCCCCATTTCCAAGTCCCCTCCAGCCCCCAAGGGTGAAGTGGGCTAGGTGGGCTCCTCCACAGCATGCCCTCCCTGCTCTGTCTCGAGATGTTGATGGGACTGAAAGCACGCAGAGCAACAGGGAACACTGCTCATGGAGAACTCCGCCATCCTACAATGCTTGTCTCTACCTCCGGCTTTCTGCCACAGAACCCAGATCCCAAGGGGTCACAAAGGCGTTGAAACAGAGAAGAATTAAGAATGTCTTTTCCCCGCTTTGGTTCCCCATCAGAGCTAGGCTGTTCCAAACACAACTCTACAAATCATCAGCTTGCTCCTTGGCTCCTGGCTTACTGATGTGCCTAGTGGCCAGGCCCTATGACCCCACTTCTTTTAGTGGTGTGTTTGTAAATGAGCTTTCTAAACATTCTCCAAGGGGCCAATACTATTAATGAACACAGAAACATAACGAGTATATTTTTCCACTACTAAGTTAATCACAACAATGGAAGACATGTCAAAATTTTATTCCTCTTTGCTTTTACAATAGAACCAAAAGAGAGTCAACTTAATAACTTATCTTACCTGCTGATTTCTGCAAACTAGTTACTTTACAAACAATAATAATATTATAACAATAATTATGGAGAAGTTAATTGGATAATAGAGCTTTTCCACAATTTAAATGGAAACACATAAGAAACTAGATAATTTTCAGTCCCACAACTCAAAATGCTACTGACCAAACCAACCCTGCTGTCTGCATTTCACTGTGGCCCTAGAGGAGACTGGTAATTCCTGTGACTCTGGGGAAACATCTACACTCAGAAATTCTCCAAGGTATTCAGTAGTTCTCTACAGATTTTAGGTTGTATCTTAGCAGCCTATCTGGAGAATTTGTTTCTAAACAATTTAGGGGAAAATCATTATGGCTTTTTATGCAGAGAACCCGCCAGAGGAAGAAATTCCCGGGAGAGGGTGAAGTCAATAGGAATGACTTTTACTTCTCTCCAGGGCCTGCTTCCACCCTCCATGACTCAGTGTCAGTGCAGACAATTCTCCCGGGATCACAGGAACACATGCTCTCTCCTCGGGTCCAGACAACAGCAGTTATGTCATGCACCTCCTCAAAAACGGAGGGAGGGTTTTAATCGCCAAATCCCTCAGAGACTCTGAGTAACCCCTTGGTGCCCTGATGCAGAGGGAAAGCTTGATTTTAATGATGAAGCTGTTGGTGTAAACCTGGCCTCATGGTCCTTAAAACAACTTTTCTAAACGAGTTTTCCTGCAGAATATGGAGACAAAATCTACATGCATGCACATTTCACCACGTTGTACTTGACTCAATTTTCAACCCTTTGGATTTAAACTCAATATGGAGAATCTGCGACAAGCATCTCCCGAATTCCTCTAAGATCATCTGCTCTGCCAAGCTCTCAGAGCAGTGCTCCTTCTCGGCCTCTTCGCCCTGAGCCAGCAGGCAGGCGCACGTGGCTTCCACCACCTCCCAGGAGATGCATGAGGATGACTGCCTGTCAGAAGCAGACCAGTTAAAGGCCACGTTCAATCACTCCACTGTTTTTAAATACCTTTCGTATTCAAGGAGACATGTTTGTCAAAGCATTGTAAAGAATGTCTAATGTTGTCTTCCTAACACTGGAAGCTATATTACCTGTCATGATATAAAGGATTGCTCTTAGAAGAAGAATACAGAGGTCAGGTGAATCTGTCAGCTCCTAGACGTCCCTCTCACGGCAAATCCTAAATTTTCTCAAACTGAGATCCACTAAGGAGCCCAGAGACCTGGGCTGCAGTATCAAGCCCATGGGCTGGGCAGCGGTCGAAGCAGCAGGAATCTTAGCTAAGACAAGCCATGCAGCCTTGCTCTAAGCTCTGTGCACAAGTCTACCTGAGGAAAGCAGCAGTAGGACAGCTACCCAGGGCACCGGCCCCTCCTCCCAGCGGCACTTGCGCTACAGACGCACAATGGCTCTGAGGACTCGCCTCCTAGGGGGCGTGCTGTCAGCATGGCCTTGCCTCGGAATGCCCCCTGGATCCCTGAAGAGGTTCTGTTGTACGGGACCAGCCACTCTCCCTACTGGGCTCAAGGGGCAACTGTGGCTTAGCTAGATAGTTGCCCAAGTCATGCTCAAACTGAAAAAATTTAGGAAAACTATAAAGTATTAAAAAGTGTTGGATTATGAAAATATAGATGTTGGGATTGGTTAAAATCTCTCTATAAAGGCAATACACAATGACTTTTGTTGAAGATGAAAGAACAGGGCTGTCCTCAGGTCAAGAGTCTTAACATTTTGAGACCAGACTCCAACGTATGGAGCCCCTATCACATTCCATCGGACACACAACAACCCCATGTCAGGCAATGTTTTCACATATAATTTCACAGAAGATGCAGCCATGTTTCAGTACATTTTTACCAATGACGACCTCTGCAGGTCACAGTGATGAGTATTTCTGATGTCTCTAACCAAATAAGCATGAACTTGGCTTCTCTACATGTTATCAATTAATTAATGATATCCAGTACTTTATCATGACATGACCCATCACAGAGAACTCAAACTTTTTAAAATGGATGAATCTAGTCCAATATATAATAAAATTATTACTCAATCTTTGAGACCTGCTAGGAGTATAATATGACCTCAAAATAATTAAATGGGAAGACATCCAACTAAAGTGGACTCCATAATCACTTTAGTAAGGAATACAGCACACACCGAGAACATCTCTCTGCCGTCACTTCCTGTGGTAAAGAGTGGTTCGGGTGTTTGCTGCCTAGAGATCATGCCCTTGCCTCCTGAGGTCCTGTAGGGACCTTCTGCTCTTGTACGAAACCAGGGGTAACTCAGACGGTCAGGACAAAAAGGTCAAGCTAAGAGGACAGATAGGACCAAGCGAATTCGACAGCAGGCGCTCCTCTGAGCTAAACAGTGTGTGATCTAGGGTTGGTCAAGACAGAGAAAGAAACTGGCGTCTTCCTTCCCCATCCCTTGTCCCCCACCTACAGACAAACACGCTTTCTTTCCAGTGTGTAAACTGTTTTAACTCTCCTCTCAAATTTTATCTTTTTTTTGGCCACGCTGCACGGCTTATGGGGGGATCTTAGTTCCCCGGCCAGGGATTGAAACCGGGCCCCGGCAGTAAAAGCGTGGAGTTCGAACCACTGGACTGCCAGGGAATTTCCAACTCTCCTCTCAAAATAACCTTGAATTCCCCTATTAGGAGGGTTAGTTCAGAGTACCTACCTATCTTTTCTGAATTTTGGTAGTCCTGAAAATTTAGTTGTTGACAAATGATGGCCGCCTTCAAAACCTCCGATTTCCATATAGTTTGGCATGTTCATTAGTGTTTTTCGTTCTGGGCTTTCTTCATAATTTTTGCAATCGATGCATTTGCAAATAGAAGAACACATAATTTTGGCCTGGTAATGTAAAATGCTTCAATAAAATTAGGTTGTCCTACCATTCATCAAAAACCAACAAATTCTATTTGGATCTTAAATAACTGTTTATATCTGTGTGTGCACGCACGTATGTAATCTGCAATTTTCATACCAAAGAAAGGCAGAAGCGAAGAGGGGCAGGTGACTGTGATGTGAAGAGAGGTGGGGAGGGGCCCCCGAGGGCCAGTGGGCGGGTGTGGGTGTGAGCCCCGAGCAGAGAGTGGGGTCTCTCCATCGTCCAGCGGAGCACAGCGAAGGCTCCATCTGACCCTTGTTCTAATCGAAGCCTGCCTCAGCCGGTTATAGCACTCCAGCCTGACCACCCTTCTCCTTCAGCACCGAGGGTGTCGTGCTGGCTCTGCTATTGCAGAGAACGTGCACGTGGGTAGAACATGAAACCCACCCGAGGCCGGGCCTGCGGTGGGCATTCTAGGGGGAGGCCCTTCCTGCTTCCTTGTGGGTGGACTTTGTTTCTTGTCACACAGTTGTGTGACACTCAGGGCTGGGGACCAACCCCTTGCTCAGGCCTGGCCTGGGGGCAGTCAGAAGGCTGGCCCTGTGACACTCTGGTTTCCAGTTTCCTCTTAGTTTCAGCCCCTGGGGGTTTCCGTCTGTCCTTTCCAGCTCAGACATGCATCTAATGGGGTGTGTTTTATTCTGCACCTCTGGGTGTTTTGAATAGGAGGTTTTTCGAGATTGCTAGTCTGTTGTAATGCCAGACGCTACAGGACATCAGCACTTTGCGTGGGCCACTGCCCGGCAGAGGAAAGTGGGCTGACGCACTGTGTCTCGGCAGCCAGACAAGCTGCTTGGGAGCTGCCTGCTCAGAGCACCCAGGTGAATGCTCACCTGAGGACAAGGCTGCCCCCACTAACCCACCGAGAGCGTCTCCGCCCTGCTCAGCAAGGAAAAGGCCCTCCTCTGGGAGCCACCAGGTGCTGGCCACTGAGGGGAGCTCCAGCCCCTGGTCAGCAGCTGCAGGGCGGGCAAGGCCCTGGCACTGGGCACCCTCTGCTGGACACTCAGGGCGGGCTCGGGGGAGACAACATGCTCCCAAAGGAGGCCTGAGCTCATTTACTTGATTCATAAGGCGTAATTCACATTTGAGAAATTAAGGTAGATTGATGGGTGCCCTTTTAGAAGCCCTGGAAGGAAGAAATTAAATTATATTTCTCCCTTTAAATTGAAGATTTTTTAACCACAAAGTTACTTAGGCCATATATTTAGCTGGTTTTTAAAAATAATACTTAGGAATTGCTGACTGACCTCAAAGCATTCACAGTAATTCTTAAGGCAGCCTGACTTCTTGCAATTACATCCTTTGCTGTGTCGAGGCTTAACGTCTCCCAATTGTCCTTTCCCAATTTTTTGTTGGAAAGCTTCCGGATTTCTATCAAGACATGCCTAAGACAGAAAATGTAAAACTCCATCAAGATATATTTTATTATTTAAAAATAATGTTCAGTGCAAAGTACCTGGCTTGCCCGACGAGCAGTGTGCCTCACCTCCTCACATCGTTGAGGAAGTGCATCACCCCCCCATTTCATTTTAATTCATTTGAACACTTAAAGGTAGAAAATTTATGGACAGTAAAGATGTGATGGAAATCATTGTGTCCATGTGGACATATTTCCTTCCTGCATCTCTTGTACTTTTTTTCCTGAGATAGTTGGGATCATGGTACTCTGATACCAGCTCACGTTTGCTAAACGTGCACTGTGTTCCACTTTCTGTGTGATTTATACGCGTTCTCTCATTTAATCCTCACAGCAACCTTGTGGAGGAAACACTACCACTGTTCTTGCTGTCTGCCGGATGAAGAGACTGAGGCACCGAGAGGTCAGATGACAGCGACCAAGTGATGGAGTCCGGTTCCGGTCCCTGTGCTCACGTCCAGCCCCGGTTCTCAACCACCAGGTGCCTTTGGCATACACCACGCTCGGCTTTTTATCGTGCTTTGTTTGTTTGACTCTCTACCTGTCTGCTACCTATCTAGACTATTGTCAATGACAAGGTGAGGCCGCGCTCTTTATAAAGCTGTGCTGGAGCAACGCGGAAGGCACAGCGGCAGCCCCCGTCCTCCCTCTCCCCTCACAGTGAGCAGCGGGGATCCGTCGGCACCAGAGCCCTGGAGGCCCCATCGCTGCAGAAGGGCCTTTGCAGTGAGGCTGCTGTGTTTGTGTGCTTTCACTTTTTACTGCAGCCCGAGGGATGGTGGACCGTGATGAATCTGAGCATGTGTGAGCCCCGTGCGACCCCCACCCAGACCAGGTCAGAGGACAGTCCAGCCCACCCATGCCGAGGTCCCTCATGACTCCTCCCCATTAACACACCCCTGAGGGAACCTCTATTCTGACTGGGATTGCTTTAATTTTGCCTGTTCTGGAACTTCGTCTAAGTGGAACCATTTGGTGTGTTCTTTTCCAGCTGGCCTCTTTCATCAGCGCCATGTGAGATTCTCCGGGCTGTGGCACAGAGCTGTGGGTCTTTGTTTTTCATTGATGTGTCACCTGTTAGATGATACACCCCGACAGATCTATCCATTCTACCACTGAACACACGGATTGTTTCCAGTTAGGGGCTATTATGAATAAAACTGCTGTGAACATTTTTTTTTTTTTTTTTTTTGCGGTACGCGGGCCTCTCACTGTTGTGGCCTCTCCCGTTGCGGAGCACAGGCTCCGGACGCGCAGGCTCAGTGGCCATGGCTCACAGGCTCAGCCGCTCCGCGGCACGCGGGATCTTCCCGGACCGGGGCACGAACCCGTGTCCCCTGCATCGGCAGGCGGACTCTCAACCGCTGCGCCACCAGGGAAGCCCTGCTGTGAACATTTTTGTACAAGCCTCTGGTAGACATGTACACTCATTTCTAGGGGCTCTGTTTTTAGGAATGAACTGCTGGATCACAGCACATACAAAGGTTTAGTTTTAGTAACTATTGCCAAACAATTTTCCAAAGTGCTGGTACCAATTTACATCCCTACCAGCAATGCATGAGAATTCCAACACTTTTTTTAAAAAATAAATTTATTTATTTATTTTTGGCTGCATTGGGTCTTCATTGTTGTGCACGGGCTTTCCCTTGTTGCAGAGCACAGGCTCTAGGCTCATGGGCTTCAGTAGCTGTGGCTTGTGGGCTCTAGAGTGCAGGCTCAGTAGTTGTGGTGCATGGGCCTAGTTGTTCCGTGGCATGTGGGATCTTCCCGGACCAGGGCTCGAACCCGTGTTCCCTGCATTAGCAGGTGGATTCTTAACCACTGCGCCACCAGGGAAGTCCCCCAACACTTTTCAAATAGAACTTTTTATACTTTTAATTGCAGACAGTATCCTTTACCCCTGAAGAAAAGGCTACTGTACTGAAGCTTAGATGCAATTGAAGCTGTGGATCTGCCTGTATCAAAATTGATATTTTCAACTGATGTATCTATAATTCAAGAGGCAAGTTGAAGTATTTTAGAAAAAATAAACAGCCCAACCCTGGCACAGTAGGAGAGCCTCAAGTCCACAGGGGAAGGCCCTCAGTTTCCCTGGGTAAGTGAGAGGGCACCAAGCTGTGGCCGAGCAGGGGGGCTGTGCTCCTCTGCTAATCTTCCGTGCCCACGGGAAGGGAGGAAAACTGCCCCTAATGGATTTAGCCTTCAGCGGCGGCCTGCGGGGCTCTCCAAGGTGCTGTCCGCCCCTAGATTCTCCCTTCACCGGGAAGCCAAGGAGAATAAAAACCAGTCTAAGTAACGATGGCCGGGAGCTTTCACCCAGCTTTCTTCACACAGTGGACCATCTCGCCTTTTCAGACTACACTCTTTGCACTCAGGCTTATCTGCTGCATAACACAATCCGAATTTCTAAACCTCAAATCAAGGCAACGTGGAGGAGGACGCTCTACGGAGGCCGAGGAGGAGAGAAATGTGGACGCGGGCTGTGTGTCTGGGCCTTCGGGCGTTGGCGGGCGGGTGCCGGGGCTTCACCTCCAAGGCCCATCCTCAGGGAAGCCGCCGGGTCACGGCCGAGCTGATCGAGCACCTGGAGCGGCTAGCGCTTGTGGACTTCGGCAGCCAAGAGGCCGTGGCACGGCTGGAGAAAGCCATCGCCTTCGCCGACCGGCTCCGCGCCGTGGACACGGACCGGGTGGAGCCCAAAGAGTCAGTTCTGGAGGACAGATGTCTGTACCTGAGATCCGACAATGTGGTAGAAGGCAACTGTGCTGAAGAACTACTACAAAACTCCCACCAAGGTGTGGAGGAGTATTTTGTGGCTCCCGCAGGTAATATCTCTTGACCAAAGCTGGATGAAAAAGAGCCCTTCTCACACCGCTGAGTAGCTATTCTGGGAAGGGGTGCCCTCTAAAAACGTGGACGTGCAATGACTATTTTGTTAGGAACACTAATGCTCCCACTTCCTTCAGTCACCTGAAAAAGTGATGGCTAGGTATCTTTCAGTAACTAACTCTTTTGAAGACAGAATTGGGAAAGATCTAGCCAAAATAAGGCAGAGTCCCTGATGCCCATGGAAGTAGAAGGTATTGCCAGTTTCCAAGGAAATGGATCAAATATACTCACAGGCTTTTCTGTATGGAAGACTTTATCCCCTCCCCAAAAGACTGTCTACCGAACTGCATTAAAGTGAGTTTTTCTATTCATGTAACTGTTAGACATTGTATCTGATCACTGTGTGACAACCTGAGTTGTCCTTTTCAGTTGCTGCTTCCAGTGACTTGAGCAGCCTTTTATCTTTACTGAACACCCTTAAATTTGTTCTTGGGTACCCACTTTGTTCCAAGCAGAGGGCTGACTTTCTGCTAAGGTTAGGAGGCAGCTTTGGGAGGTGGTGGATATGTTTATGGCCTTCCTATTTGTGATTTCATGTGTGTATACTTAACCCCGAACTCACTGAGTTGTATACATTAAATGTACAGCTTTTTACAGGTCAACTGTATTTCAGTAAAGTGGTTAAAAAAAAAAAAAGACAACGTGGATACTTCCATGCTCTTAAACCAGACCCTTCTGGTACCCTGCTGCCCCCATGAAGCCCTCCCATGCTGGTGGAGAATAAAGGTCTTTCTCCAGCTGCCACTCTCACAACAGCCCCTGGTCATGGTCAATACTGCCACCTTCAGGCATACAGTCCTATTTAATGTATACTCTTCAACACTTTGGGTTTTCCCAATACTGAAATTAGAAATCTGACGAGATCGTTTTGTGAATATCCCCTGCACTTTTAAATGCTTTCAGAATGTGTGTATTTAATGGAAATTTGTTACCTTAATGGCCTCAAACCGTTCCATGTCATGATGTAAATTGTTGCAACAATTATTACAATTGCACTTGTTGCAAAAGTCCCCGCTTGCAAAGCAATCACAGTACCTGTGAATAAAACAACACAGTGTGTCAAAGGCACCGCTGCGAGTAGTTAAAAACAAGCGTGCACACACCTACAGGGAGAGAGCTGGTCACACGCCAAGTCAACACAACTTTTAGTTACGCGATTCTCCTCTTTATGTGAAAATTAGATCCATTGGGATGATGCTTTCCAGTGACCAACACAAGAGAGAGAGACTCGTTAAAAACCATTGGTTTCATAAAATAGGCATGTGCAGAGTAAACAATTTCCTGGACGATGTCCGCTGGCGTCCACTGTCTCCTGCCCCTAATGCCCGCCGCCCTTCTCCCAGGAACACTGTAAGCTGGTGAGCAAAGAGCCACTTTCCCAACAACCATCCCAACCCGGCTGAAAGTGAGTTCACCTCTCGGCCAGACCTCGCCTACGAGAAAAAAACGAAGGGACCTAGAGGTGGACCCTGGCCCAGGCTTTGTGTCACTTTCATTCCATGTCAGTGGTGGAGAAAGGAGGCATGACTGGGTCAGAAACACGGGTGTGACACGACTGCTGTCACACTGTGATAATACATATCGTCCACGAGCAGAGTCCACAGGACAGCGTGCTGAGCAGACCCTGTTCCAGCACCTGCCCCTGGGATCCTGGAGTCAGACGGGCAGTGCCCGGCAGTTCAAGGGCAGTGCCGAGCACCTTCTCTGCTGCGTTTCCCTTGAAGACCTCTCAGCGTTTATGACTGTGAACCGCTTTACATGCTCTCGTAGGAGCCTGCTCTTGTGCTGTGCGACAGAGGCCCTGATAGGCCTGAGGTTTACACCTTTTCAGTATGGGCGGGGGCAAGACACTTTCCTCAACTCCTGTAAAAATTCATGTAAAACATCCTGCTTGTAACCTGCGCCCTTGAGAGCCTTCGGGAGGCTCATCAGCCACTCCACGGCCTCAGCCTGTGACTAGAGAAGACCCACGGCGTTCTCTTCCGAGAGCGTGATTCATTGAAAAGAGCTTCAAATGCAGGTCTAACATCAGCTCTGCTTCTGGCCCCCCATGTTATCTGATCCAGGTTATCAGTCAGCGTCTGGAGGCAGGAAGCCCTGGCACCTGACCTCCCGCGCTCGCAGGGTTGCTGAGGGAAGGCCTGGCGTGCTTCCCACATAGCGGGTGCCTCTGACAGAGTGCTGAACGAATGCAGGAGGGCCTCTGCGTCTGGCTATATGGTGGACTGGATGTTTGCAGAAACCTTCCTGTTACAGAGTTCCTGAACACAATTCTTTTAACATTATTATTATTTTTTTAACATTTATTATTTTAATATTTTTAAATAATGTGTCAAAATGCATGTCAAACCAAGAGGAGAGTAAAGGAGATTGTCAGATGTGAAAAGATAAGGAACTGTGAAGCCAGACAGGTGAGTTCTGTAGCTGCCAAGTGTTGTCCTGGGCCCTCTGCAGGTCCTAGGGATCAAATGGGCCACTCCTGCAGGAGACAGGAGACAAAGTCTGAGCTACAGAAGGTGGGAGTTGGATCAAAAAAAAAACCCATATAAAGTGTGAATCCTTGAAAGGCCACCTCCCCACAAATCTACTTCACAGAAGGAGAGCGTGGAGACACAGCACTGTCTGAGCCACAGGCAGAGAGCAAGGGGAAAATGTGAGAGTTTTTCCTGACCACTAGGATGGACAGAAGGGAGCGGAGACAATTACAGAAGATTCGGAGGCTGGAAAACAGAGGGGAGAGAGTTAATGGACAGCAGATTCAAGAACTCTGAAACCTGAGCTAGCAAGAGAGAGTGGAGAAGCAGCTCTGAAGGCACGAATGGGTGGCAGGTACCAGGCTGCTCTGAAGTGGGGTGAAGGTGGCTGAAATTCTATTTAGGAGGTAGGGGGTCCCCAGGCTCCTTCCCTTCCAGTACCTGACTGCTCCTCCACCACCATGGCAAGAGACTGAAATTACTCTCTGGGGTAAAACAACTGAGGACTGGGGTATTCTAAAGAACAAAAGGGGGGAAAGGTGAATCTGAGACCCCCAGGTTTTTCCACTCAGCCCTTAGAATTCTAGCAGGAGATTGGAAAGGCCTTCTCTGAGGACCCACTAGCCCAAGAGAAAATATAGAGAGTCTGACGTTGAGATCCCCCGATAAGTGGCTTGGTAAGATCACCCTACGGTGGAGCCACAGGGAGCAAGCTCCCACCAACGTACCAAGAGCCCCCTCCCTTCTGCCTTGCTCTTAACCATGAGCAGAGTGGCAGGCCAAGATCTGCAGACATTTTAGGGACTCATCCAATATGAAAGACAGAGGCCTAAAGAAACAGACTCTGAAGGGAAAAGAAAAGGGGGCGGGGGACAAGGGGGTATCAATAGCCTTGGAAAGATTAAGAAAAGTTATTGTATCCAGGAAACAAGAACACAATGCTAAAAAACACTCAGAGTACAAAAGATACATTATGTAAAATAAAAAAGTAATCATAGGGATGAAAAACTTAACAGAAGATAAGAAAACAGAACACACATACAAAAAAGTAGAAAACAATAGGAGAAAGAAGAATGTAGAGGAGCATCAGAGGGTCCAACACTTATGTAAAAAATAAGGGTTCCAGAAAGACAGAATTTTAAGAATGAAGGGGAGAAAGTAAGTCAAGAACATTTCCCAGCGCTAAGGGGCATGGGTTCCCAGAGTGAAAGGGACTGCCAAATGGCCAGAACAAGACACCTCTCACCAAATTTCAGAGCACGGGGCACAAAGAGAAGCTCCCACAAGGTTCTAGAAAGAATAAAATAGGTTTCATACAAAGGGAAAAAAGTTCACAGCAATACTGGAATCTAGAAGAAAATGCAGCAAAGCCTTCAAAAATTTAAAGGAAAATTCCACTAGTTGAAGGTGGAAATCCCATTGTCCATCCAAAATGATCATGTCAGTGAGAGGACAGACTACGACATCTTTAGACACATACGGTCTGAAAACATTCTCTCCCATCACTCTTGCTCGGGAAGCTACTGGAGGACATGCTGCACCAAAATGATGCAGTGAATCCAATGAGGAAGATAATGGAATCCAGGAGCCAGGGGCTCAAACCTGAGGAAGAAGCAAAGGGAACCCTGGGCCTGATGCTGGAGGGAGGGTCCAAGAGAACTGTGCAGCAGGCCTGGAAACCAACCACCCAAGAGCAGGGCGGTGACGGCTGCAGGAAAGGCTTCCTCCAGACCAATTCACTGAGTACCTAGTGTGCTGGAGCACGTTGAGAGAACAGTTACACAAGCGGAGGAGAGTTAAGGGTTAAGTTAATGTTAGGTACATTAGAAAACTGAGTATTGACTCAAGGGAAAAGGTAAAGAAGTGCAGGAAGAAAATTAATCAAGGCTCAGCAGTGAGTAGTGTTTTCATAGTCATAAAAAATAAATACTACTGATCCAACCAAGTACATCTGATGTCTGGGAACAGGACATGTGTGTGTTGGGAGGGGGGTTACGTGTGAGTAGCAAGAGGGAAGAGAGCTAAATCCACGTCTTTCATGGCACAAATACAAGAGGCCACGCCCAGCCTGAAAAGCCAAGAAGTAGCAACACAAGCACGTTATTTAGATTTATGGAGGCAAATATTAAAAGATTTGGTTAAGGGCTAAACGTTCTTGGGGATCAGAAAATAAGGAACAATTGTCAGGGAACTACACTTTTTTGTCATAAGCCTTGTATAACTATTTGGCTCTTTATGTGCATGTGAGCTGGATAAAAATAATAACTAAATGAAAAGTCAGAAAGGATAAACTGAAAGATAAAGAAATTAGATCCAGATTCAGCATAAAAAGACAAAAAAGTTAAAAATATGGAAGAGAGATTAAAAGAAATGGTCGCTAGTTACAGGGGCTCACGTATGTCTGCTTAGCATTACAGAAGGACAGAAAAGAGAAAATGGAAGACAGGTATATTTGGAGTGAGGATATCTCTGAGTTTTCTGGAACTGTTGAAAGTTGTGGATCCTCAGATTTCAGAAACCTAATGAACCCCAAAAAGGCAAATAAAAAGAAAAATTGAAGACAAAATTGTAAAAAGGCCAGAAGAAAAGACATTACCTAGACTAACCACTCACTTCATGTTAGAAATAGTGGAAAACAGTAGAATAATACCTTCGAAGCACTGAGAGAAAAACTGACAATCTAGAATTTTATACCTAGTCAAACTATGCTTACTCACCAAGGTCCAAGCTAGGCATATTTCTTTTCTTGCACCCACACCTTGCTGGGTGCTTTTATTTATTAACTCTGTCCCCTCTACTTTTTAAAACTCTATGTTGAAGATTTGTAGCTGTGTATCACCGAACACTCATTTTCTTCTTCCCCAAACATCAAGAAAGGGTTTCTACGCTTGCTGCTTATCCTTCCTCATCTCCTATTCTTTCTTTAACCTACTGCGCTCGGACCGTCTTCTCCATCCCCCTAACTCTCAAACAACCTCCTTAACCAGAAAGGCAAGGACCTCTTCACTGCATTTACCTCTCAGCAGCGTGTGACACTATTATGCTCCAGAACCACATTCCCCACTTCCTATCAGACATTTCCACCCTATCAGACATTTCCACCTCCAACTCAGCGTGTCCACACCTTAACTCCTGACCTTCACCTTCAGCCCTCACTGTGCTCACTCTGTAGTCTCTCTCTGCACTCATGGTGTCCATCCACCCAGTAACATGACCCCTGAGTCATTTCTGACGATTACCTTTCCCTCTTTACTCACATCCAAGGGGTTAACCAAGTCTACTGATTCTGGCTCAGAAATGTCTTTGCTAATTTTATTCTTGATACAAGTAAATCACATTTGTTGTAGTTTTTAAAAATGTAAATAAGCAAAAAGGAAAAATTACAATCACCCAGAATCCCACTCGCTAGAGATGATCATTTGGCAAATATATTTCAGAGTTTTTCTGTAAAACTATACATATTAAAATAAATACATGTTGTTTGGTTACATATAATATATAAAAAAAAGATCATATTCTATACACTGTTTCAATGTGCTTTTATTATGTAACAATGTCAGT